GCTTGCCTACAGAACAAACCACTCTTATACAATGATTTGTCGAATGAACCTGAATACTAGTATCTTGTCAACTATTATGTGCTGTCATCATGGCACAGATAAAAGAAATAAGTTATTGGAAATGAGTTATTAATGAGTGATTAAAACTATTATGTCTAGAAATGTGCTGAAAATTTTAAACAGAGATTGTGGGAAAATACAATTAGACAAGGAGGCTAATAATTCTGACTTCCACTGTTTAACACTACACACATAATAACGTATTCCAGTAATAAAGCAATGTGCAGGCCTGATCCACTCACAATGTGTGTCCTCTGATGGGCAGGCTGATGGTTCGAGACACCAGCTCTCTACAGTATGTGTCTTTGAGGAGCAAACCGTTCTCCTGGATCTCTGACAGGGACGCCAGAGACTTGGTGATGTTTTTAGAGTTCAGGTCCAGAATTGGGCCCAAATACTCGGCTGAAACCGCCTTCATTTGTGCGGAGAGTCGAGGCTCAACCTGGGAAAGAAGAGAAGATTTGAGGCTAAATGCTGTGCTACACTGCCACCTGCTGCTCACAACACACAGGACAAGAAAAGAAGAGCTGCTTGGGCGTTTAACATCATGAAACAAATGCTGGGATCGTATTTTCTTCTCTATAAGGGGAAAATTATTATTATCACGTTAAATAAGTATTTAGAGAGTGTATGTGTGAAGTTTCCGCTTAAAATACAACACAAATAATGTTTTATAACTCTCTGAAACTGACCCTTTTAGGCTTTGATCCTAATAGGGCTGTTTTGGTGACTGTCGCTTTAAATTTAAATGAGATTGTGCTCTTTTCAGAAGAGGGCGGAGCTACATATGCCTGTGTGTCAGCATAGTGGCAGATTCAAAAACAAGACTAATGTCCTATGCTAATGAGGAAGAGATGGTCACTTGTGGGCGGAGCTTTCCCCCTCTGATGACACGTACAAAAGGAGAAAGTCAATCAAAGTGCAAACGACTGTTTGAACCCCTTATAAAAGTCATTTATTTTAAATAAATAAATAAATGACATCTACACAGACACATTTCTAAGCAAATTAAATGCAAACAAAAGGTTCACAAAGAAACAAAGAGGATAATAATGTTCATAAGGATGCACACGGGTTCAAACTAACTAAATGTGCATTGATAAATCATTTATAATGAACACTGTCAAACTGGTGATGAGCAAATGTCAAAATACTACTCAGTCAAGAACATGTTTCATGAGTTTCACCTTCATCTTAAAGTCATCTTGACTCGCAGACAACTTCATTTGGGAAAATCTGTGGCAGAAAGACAAGCAGGGATGTTCAGACTGAAACACTGAGGGATTATACACTTCAATGGACATCTACTTATAGACCTTTTTCTTGGAACGCAAAATTACCCATTATGCTTTGCGTGTATGCGCAAGGAGAATGCGAAGAACTTCCGGTCGGCAGCTGATGCGTGTAAACAGTCACATTTGGACAGCTTTGAAACGATAGTTTTAGTCTATTTTACCTGCTTTCATCCTCTATGAACTAATACTGTTGTCCATCATCAGCATCTCCTGGACTGATCATTTAAAGAAATGCGATCTAATAGGATGGAAAACAGCTGCTGTGAGGCATTTTCCCCTCATCAGACGGCATCTTCTGCAGTTTAAATGAAGCCTCGTCATCGCTAAAGTCAACATTTTCTCTTTATTTCAAATATATAACCAGCCCAAACTAATGTAATTCACCAAAATGTTTGACACACACACGTAGCCTGTACTGTGCCACTGACACACTGATTTAATAACTGTGACAAAGTGTAAATTAGGCTAGTGTCATTTCCAAATGACAGAAAAACACAAACCGTGGTAAAAACAACACACGAAATAAAACACAAACGGCTCGCGATTAGAATGAACAGAAAATCAGCCAGCAGAGGGTCAATAACAGACTTTTATTGGTCATTTTTGTAAATTGCACGACTTTCATACCTGTTAAGTTTCATGCCAGTACTCTGGTTTGCTCTCTCTCTCTCTCTCTCTCTGTCTCTCTGTGTGTGTGTGTGTGTTAAAGAGCCGCTTAGCTAACAGCTGACAGGCCGGGAACGCACACACACACTGTATTTCTGACGGCAGACACGTGAACTAGCAGAACGTTTTTCTCGTATTTCTGACGCGCTTGAACCACACGTGACAGATTATAACGGCTTTACCAGACACATTTCTAAGTTGTGTGTCATAAAAACACTTTGTTATCCATTAAAAACGTTATTGAAACCCATTTTCGGAGCACAAATCACCAGTTGTACACGCTGTAAACGGAAGTTTTTAGCATTCTACCGGAAGACGCTGGTCGCTATGGCGCCCTCCATGCAGCAGCCATGAAAAAGGTCTATAGAGATCACCTATTTACTGTATAACTGCAGATTAACTGTTTATATATTCTAACTTTAACTGTTAAAACCTATTAGTTACTAGTTAATTACTCAAAGTTATTAGCAACTAATAAATTGATGGTAACTAATAACCTTAAGTTTTCTGAATTTGACTGTAATGCAATAATATGACCCGTTTGTAAAGCTGCTTTGAAACAATCATTACTGTGAAAGCGATATATCAATAAACTTGAATTTTTTGACGATGTATAGATGTTCATACCCGCTCTCCGAGGCCTGACTGAACTCAGACACCTCCTCATCTGTGCTGGCATAGCCGTTCTCTGAACAACAGAAGAAAACAAAGACCAATTTACAACAGAATTGTCACAACAACAAAGTATTAAGAACAAAAGTCACTTCATTTAAGCAGCATATAAGGACATTTGCAAGGAGAAATATTTCCGAAGCCACTAATTAGCGGTCAACATTTTAATTTGTCAGTCAACTTGATTTTTTTAATATGTAATAATAATAATAATAATAATAATAATAATAATATTAATGATTGTAACGCCTGGGTTCAACACAGAAAGGCACAGGAAGGCACGGATGAAGAATACCTGACAAAGATCTAACTAAATACAGGGACTAAAATACACAACAGATGATGACAATAATTACACACAGGGGATGAACACAGGTGAAGGTGATGAACAAGATCTAGTGGCGGGAACGGAAACACATGGTGAAGGTCACATGATGAAAAACAAACATACATGGAAGACAAGGTGTGACAATAATAATAATAATAATAAATAATAATAATGATAATAATAATAATAATAATAAATAATAATAATAATAATAATATTTTTAAAAATACTAATAATGATAATATTAGGGTGGCACAGTGGCTCAGTGGTTGGCACTGTCGCCTCACAGCAAGAAGGTCATGGATTAAATCCAGCCTGGGTCAGTTGGCGTTTCTGTGTGGAGTTTGCATGTTCTCCCTGTGTTGGCGTGGGTTTCCTCCGGGTGCTCTGGTTTCCCCCACAGTCCAAACACATGCGGTTTGGTGAATTGGTTAAACAAAATTGGCCGTAGTGTATGAGCGTGTGTGAATGAGTGTGTATGGGTGTTTCCCAGTACTGGGTTGTGGCTGGAAGGACATCCACTGTGTAAAACATATGCTGCAATAGTTGGCGGTTCATTCCGCTGTTGTGACCCCTGATAAATAAGTGACTAAGCAGAAGGAAAATAAATGAATAAATAATAATAATAATAATTATAATTCCAATATTTTCCAATGTCTTGCAGCCCTATTTGAAACACAATTAACTAAAATGAAAGTGAATCTTCACCTTGTTGGACATTATGGATTAAAGCCTGCAGTTCAGGGATGCACTCCGCCTTTTCCCTCAGAGCGTCCAGGATCATGTGATTATGGGACGAGCCGATCACATCAGTCTGCCGCAGCTGACCTTCCAGCAGGCGAATCTGAGCCTCCTTCTGGGCGACCTGTAAACCCTATACAGACAAGCAAACAAAAATCAATGATTCGTCCTCCTGTGAATGTTTTTCTTTTTCAGATATTTCCCAAATGATGTTGAACAGATTCAGGATTTTTTCACAGTATTTTTTATAATATTTTTTCTTCTGGAGAAAGTCTGATTTGTTTTATTTCGGCTAGAATAAAAGCAGTTTTTAATTTTTTAAACACCATTTTAAGCTTAATATTGTTAGCCCCTTAAGCAATATTTGTTTTTAATTGTCTACAGATTCGTTATACAATGACTTGTCTAATTACCCTAACTTGCCAAACTAACCTAGTTAAGCCTTTAAATGTCACTCTAAGCTGAATATTAGTATCTTAAAAAAAAAAATCACTGGATGACAAAACCAAAGTATTGTGTAGTGTGTGTGTCTGGTCTGACCTTGTCAATGGAGGCTTTGAGGAAGTAGTCGAGTAGAGATCGAGCTTCAGCCAGAGAGCAGGAGCTGATGACCACTGATGTGTCCACAGAGTCCAGCTCATCCTAAACAACAAAACGCACACACAAGACTTCAGATTGACCATTCATAAAACACCCACAGCTAAACACCAGAGATTAACTGAGCTAATTATGACGTTTCGATTACACAGCTGAGTAAAACTTGGTGTAAATATAAATACTTAAATATTTAACTAAAAATAAATAAATAAATAAATAATAACTGAATATTCCTATGAATATTTATCACAGTAAAATTACTTCCTCTGATACCTTTGTTAAAATAACTAAAATAACTAGGTTAATTAAGGTAATTAGGCAAGTTATTGTATAACGATGGTTTGTTCTGTAGACAATCGAAAAACAAATATTGCATAAGGGGGCTATTAAATGGTTTCATAAAAATTAAAAACTTCTTTTATTCCAGCCAAAATAAAGCAAATAAGACTTTCTCCTGAAGAAAAAATATTATCGGAAATACTGTGAAAAATTTAATCTGTTAAACATCATTTGGTAAATATTTAAAAAAAATGTAAATAAAAATAAATTACAGGAAGGCTAATAATTCTGACATTAACTATAATTGTTCTTCACCTTGGTCTCCTCAATCTGCACGATGGTGGCCTGGCAGTCAGACAGGCTGTCGCTGATGTAGTCTATATTAGCGTTGAGCACCTCGATCTCCTCGTTCATCTCCTGCAGGAGTCTCTCCTCGTCCTCTTCTCTGAAGCTTTCACTCAGCAGCTTCTCTCTCTTACGCAGCAGCGCCTCCTGCTGCACTGAGAGCTCCTCGCGTTTCTGGACACAACACATCATCAGGACTAGGCATGGGACGGTAACTGCTTTCAAGGTTTACCGTGGTTTAGAAAAGTCAAGGTTTTAAACCGGCTCAAAGATATTTTTGTCCCCAATTGCTGTTTTTTTTCAGCACATTTCTAAATATAATAATTTTATTAACTCATTTCTAATCACTGATTTCTTTTATATTTGCCATGATGACAGCACATAATATTTCACTAGATATTTTTCAAGATACTAGTATTTAGCTTAGAGACATTTAAAGGCTTAACTAGGTTAAGTTAGGCTAATTAGGCAAGTCATTGTATAACGATGTTTTGTTCTTTAGACAATCCAAAACAAGTATTGCTTAAAGGTTCAGGACACCCTGGAGAACTTTTTTTTTTATTTTAACAGATTTGTTTGTGTTGAGCATCAGTTAAGACAATGTTAGCACCTGTCAGCTTTAATTGTGGGGAAAACTGGATAATTTTGAGCTTTTGTCAGCTAATTTCAGCTTCCAGGTTTAAAATGGATTTTGGGGCAGGATCAAAATCGGCGACGTAGCGCAGTACCGCAAGTGCAATGATGACGCGTCGGTTTCCTCATTATTATTCATAGCGGAGTTTTCTTATCCTATGAGAAGAGCCGGCTGCTTAATTATTCATGAGAGCACGTGCTTTCCGAAGGCAAGGCAGACCTGCCAGTTTCAAGCAAGCTGTGAGACACAGACCAACGGGACGCAGTAGCCGTTCATGAAGGCTCGTATGTGTTTGTTTCCATGATCCACAGGGTTTGTTGCATTTTTTATCCCCGCGATCTTGTCAGGGCCGATCATACAGCAAAGCTGTGTGTGTGCGCTGCAAGCATTTTTGTCGGGAGAGCAGCATGCGAATTAAAGAATGGCGGATGCTGTCTTTTATCAGGAGTTCGTTCACATTCAGACACATCGCCGTGCTGCTGTGTTTGCCTAAATCCTCTATATTACCAGCAGGGCTAATGGTTAAAATAGACAGGTCAGGAGACCTGCTGCAGTGAGTCTGCATTCAGATCGAGGGAGAATCCTCATTTATAGTGTTTACAAGAACACACTTATCTTCATAATGATATAAACCGTGGTTATGTGTACATGAAATTACAAATAACAAATGTAGCAGGGCATTAAATCACTGTTTATTTCTTTGCATTTTAACGTTGTGAACTATAAACTCATGCGTCTCCTCAGGGTTTGTCTCATTTTGTGAGCTAACTGACAACAGCAGTTGTTCGCTCCCCTTCTCCCCTGCTGGCCACGCCCACTCCTGCCTGATGCTCGCGGAGCTCCACGCCCATTAATCATGCATCTTTTGAAAACATTCTGAAGTAGACTTTAACCGAAAGTGGGGGGTGTCATGGCCCTTTAAGGGGACTAAAAATATTAACATTAAAATGGTTAAATAAAAAATGAAAACTGCTTTTACTCTAGCTGAAATAAAACAATTAAAACTTTCTTCAGAAGAAAAAATATTATAGGAAATACGGTGAAAAATTCCTGAATCTGTTAAAGATCATTTAGGAAATATTTGAGAAAGAAAAAATATTCACAGGAGGGCGAATCATTTTGACTTGAACTGTAAATGATAAATTTTTAAATGTGTTTGATATTTGTTTTAAAGTCACCTTAATGAGGCGGTCCATATCCGCCTCCACATTAGTGATGGTCATTCTCTGCATGACGATGTCCATGATCCTCCTCTCCAGAGACTGCCACTTCTGACGCGCCGTCTTGGAGAAACCGCTGCTCGGACCCTTCCGCTGGAACTTTTTTCTGCTACTGTAATCAAACACAGATACAGACTGAGTCGCTTACAGATCATAGGGGAATGCAAACACACATGTACTAATGAATGGCACCTAACTGATATTAAGGGTGCTTTCACACCTGCCTTATTTAGTTCGATTGAATCGCACTAGAGTTCGTTTCCCCTTTTGGTACGATTCGTTTGGGCAGGTGTGAATGCAGCAATCGCACTCGAGTGCGCACCAAAAGCGGACCAAATAAGCCTACCGAGACCTGCTTGAAGAGGTGGACTCGGTACGCTTTCAAACGAACCCTGGAGCGGTTCGTTTGTGGTGAGAATATGATCCGTACTAAAACGGGTCCAACCGTAAAAAGTACTGCGCCTTTTAGACTAATCCAGCTGCCGTAGGCCGATGCGCTGTGCATTATGGGATATGGAGGAAAAATATTTGTTGACAGCGCTTTACCAACAGAGACAGAGGGAAGACATTACCTGATGGATCGTTGGTAATATTTCCGCAAGATGACCATGTTGCAGTTTAGCTAAATTAATTCACAGCTCCTCCTGAAGTGACGAGCGATACATTAATACCCTATTTTCCAGCCGCGCTTCATTCTCGAAATGAATAGTTTGTCTAAAGCAGGCAATCAGTCAGCGCAGTCGTCCCTCCAGAGTAAAAAGCGACATTATGTGTCTGCCGATTTTGTTCAACTGCAGGAGTTTTCCGCACATGAATTCTGACCAATCAATAAGCAGTTTAGGAAATATGTTTAACAACATCTGGCCAATGAGAGATGTGGATTTTGTCAGATGACTGCATTTTGGTTCGTTTCAACTGGTTCAGACCAAAGCCAGCAGTGTGGTGTGAAAACGACCCAAAGACGGCAGAAGATGCAACAATGCATCATTTATTACCCTTGGTGAGGACCAAATGAAGCGAACTACAGATGTGAAAGCACCCTGAATTAAGGATTTGATAAAGAAGTTCAAGAATAATTACTGCTACAAAAAATATGTTTTTGTTATTATAAGCATAAGCAAAAAGTAATTATTTATTTAAATGATGCACAATTAAATACAAATATTTCATGTAGATTAAATATTTAAGTTAAAGGGCGCTATCATACACCAGGTGCAATAAGGTGTAAGACGTGTTTGGCTCGATTTGTTGCTATTTTCAGACCAGCGCAACTTTAATTTTCTTGTTTTTGCACCATGTTGTTTAAACAGCAAATCTATTTGTGCCACTGTGCGGACTCATGGGTCTAGAATGGAGGTGTGTTAAGGTGCATTGTCTCACTGACCTGGCCATGTTTGCCGCAGGTGCATGGCTGTCGGTTTCCCCCAGGTACCCGTTGAGTTTGGTGTTCCAGTGGCGGATGATGCTGGAGACGGAGCGGCTAGACTCTGGCTCAGAGGAGGTGGTGGTGGTGGTGCTGGTGGACAGTTCTGCTCCAGAGTCCACACTGGTGAGTCTGCGGGACACTCGTCCAGCTGCCCGCTCTGACAGGGGCTTAGCCAAACGCCGGAGCGCCGTCACCTCCTGAGTCTTCCTGCGCAACACCAGCTCCTGCTGCCGCTTCTGGGACTCCAGAGCACGAATCTGATACTGATGGACAGCACACACACACAACACAGTTACTCTCCGGCTGTTGGGCAACATAATGTACTTCTGATGCTTATTTTAGTGGATAATGTAGTTGTTTAGATTGCAACTATGCAGTTTATTTATAAGGATAGTGCCAATTTAAAAATATTAATAATTTCCGAGAGACCTGCCAAACTAAGCTGACCAAAGACAATTGATGTTAGTCATAGTTGGTGGTTCATTCCGCTGTGGCGACACCTGATAAATAAGTGACTAAGCCAAAGGAAACTGAATGAATATGGCAAACAAAAAACATTAAGCAGTAGCCCAACCAGAGTCCTGACTTAAATCCAATTGAGAATCTGTGAAAGGAGCTATATATCATGGCAAAGAGACCCTCCAACCTGAGAGAGTATATACCTCTTGTCGCCGCTGCTCTTTCTTCAGTTGTGCGATTTCTCGGTTCCTCTTGGCGTCTATCATCCTCCTCCTCTGCTGCTCCTCCTTCATCTGCTTCATCAGTGCCACCTACAGGTGGATTCAATGATACACTTAGAAGCAGCTTTAGTGATTAAGGGCATTATGGGATGGCCTTATTCCAGACAGAATTCCTTTTTGTACAATGCACATTTTGCAAATGTACATTTCCCAATCCGAAGGCTGAAGTCAGTTATCTATTTTTTATTCTTATTTTTATCTTTTTTATTTTCATTATTTGTTTTCATTTTCTTACACTTCTTGTTTATGTAAAGCACTTTGAATTGCCACTGTGTGTGAAATGTGCTGTATAAATAAACTTGCCTTGCCTAAGATCCAGGCCCGGATTGGCTAATCGGGAGGACCGGGAGAATTCCCGGTGGGCCGGTCTGTTTTTTGGCCGTGAGGGCCGGTGTCCCTAGCTGCTTGCACTCTCAGCAGTCACACTTTTTTCTTCTATTTATTTATTTTGACAATAGCTTTACTCTTTTTATTCATTATTTTGCCGCAGTGCCGCTCTTTTTATTTAATTTCTCGCAGCCCCGTGAGAAAAATGCAGCCTGCAGATTAACTAACGTTAATGATGATGATGTAATGTAACTATCGACCCCAAACAGCGGCACCTTAGTGAATATAAGAATTCGAATAAAATGAATAATACACCTGCTTAATGAAAATCTAATGATTCACTACATTAATAAATCTGACATAACTTGATCAGAAATCTAAAAATAGGAGAAAAAGATTGAGCCATCAAAAGAAAGTAGTGCTGTGTCTTAAGGGTCGCAAGTCATTAGTTATTTTTTACTCTCACTGTAATAGCGCCAATGTGGTCCAGTGGTAAGCACATTGCGTTTCAATGTCGTGGACCCGAGATCGAACCTCCCATGAAAAATCTTTTTTTTTTTTTCGATTTTAATGTTAAGACATAAAATACTGTAAGGGCTGCTGAACATTTGAATTTCTAAAGCAGCAGTTTTCTTGAAAAAGACGTGATGGTGCCATTAGAAACTGAATTGGAATCAGTCGTGAACTGAGGTGGGCCGGTCTGGCTTGAAACTCCAGGGCTGAAAATGAGTCCCACTCCGGCCCTGCTAAGATCAGTTGGTGCATCCCAAATTGCATCCTTACAGTATGCACTATTCTACGCCACGTTGTAGTATAAATGTAATTCAAAGATAAAACTTACACTTTAAGAACCCGAATATGTACATAATAGTTTATCTATTTACTTGATGTACTATGGAGTACTCTGTACTTAATTGTTTTCTTTTTGAATTTATTATCAAATGTAATATACTCCCATCATGCAGAGCTGCTTTTCTAGCATCATTGCCTCAGTTTTCAGTGTCACACAAACTTTCAGACATCATTCTTGAAAATGTATAATTTACAATCTTAATCAATACATTTATAATTTACAATAAAATCCATGATGATGTTTTAATGATATTTAATGTTTAAAATGCTTAATTTGTCTGCAAATTGTAGTATATTAAAACTGTTTGAAATTAATTAATTTGTTTGATTTTGCTGTTTCTTTTGAAATTTTCAGAAAATTACCTTTAAAGTTGAACATATTAAGATCTTAGCAATGCATATTATTACTTAAAAATGCATTTTTGATATATTTTTGGTATGAAATGCACAAATTAAACATACTCTTTTCTTAGTATTCTAATGTTTTTAGGCATTAAAAGAAAGATCAATAATTTTGACCCGTACAACACAGTTTATTTTTGGCTACTGTCAAAAATATACTAATGCAACTTAAGACAAAAGAAAGACTCTTGAATCTTTTGAATGAACGATACTGCATACTTTCAAATTCTGGCAAACTTTACAATACAAATAATAACATTTTATTATGCTATGCTTTTTAATGGTGTGTAGTAAGTAGATTTGTGTAGTGGTTTACACTCCTGATGGCCTGCAGAGGGCGCTGTATTCCTAAAAATGCCCTCTCACCTTTGCCTTCTTCATCTCGGCCACCTCAGACTGCAGTTTCTTCAGCTCTCTCTCGTATCGGCCCTGGTTCTTCAGCAGACGCGCGTGCTCCTTCTGTGCGGCCTGGAGCTTCAGCAGATCCCGGTTCATCTCCTTCAGGCGCTTCTCGTACTCGGACTTCACCTTACTGGCTTTCTCTTCAGTGTAGTTCTCCATCGACACTAAAAAACAAATGAGTCAAAAAGAGGAACTATTTCATCTGTTAAACAAAGTTCTGCACAGTTCACCCAAAAATAAACATTTCAATTCAATTATTGTTTCAAGTAATAATTATTGTTTCAAAGCAGCTTTAGAAAAGGTGCATGTTATTGCATTGCAGTCAAATTCAGAACAGTTAAAGGTCCCGTGAAGTACTTTGAAATGTGTATTTTTTTATTCGATATTTAATCTTTACCAAAAACATGGGAGTAGCCCCTCCCCTTTTCAAAGAACAGCCAGTATTGTTTGTTTTTATCACAGCTCTTTCAGTGAAAAATAGGCAAAATAAAATAAATGTGACTTTCTCTAGAAGAAAAAGTATTATAGGAAATACTGTGAAAAATTTCTTGCTATATATATAGATATGTATATATATATATATATATATATATATATACAT